CCCACATACACTGGCACTAGAGGCACGTTTTGTACGTCCACTCTAAATGGCTGAATCCTGTGGCTTTGGGCTGATCCTGGGCTGAACAAAATTTGCCCCAATGAGCCGCAAACAGAGGGGGCGTGGCGAGACACCTGTCAATCATTCTGAACCAGGATATACATTACATGAAAAWGGGCTGTGAAAAGTTAGCCCTGCAGAACAACACTGGGATCTTCCCAGGTGGTTTGGCACCAATTTTCCTAGTAAATTTCACAAAATAAGATATAGTATTTTTAAATTCTGTTTATTTTTAAGTTGTTGTTTACAAATTGTATATAATTATATTATAATTTTATAATATTGTTTATTTTAACATTTTTATTGTGAACACCAGGGAGGGCTTAGCCCTACTAGCCCACTTATACCAGCCGTCACTGATGGTTATGATGGATAGTCGTAGTTTGGGATCATGGGGTGTTGGTGTTGATCATAAGATAACCTGTTTGCTCACAGCTTTTTTTTTTTTTTTTTTGCGATGTTAATGGAGAAATCAATTTTCTGCTGACCACTTCAAGCTTTGAAAAATGTTTGCTGTAGTGAATATTTTTGGCTTTGATGATTCACTGATGTTTTGCCCTGATCTTGAATTTTGATGTCAATAAAGGAACTTTAATTGCTGCTTGGATTTGCAGTTTGAACAATGGGCATGTCAACATTAATTTTCCCTACTCAGCTGCTTGGCAACTTAGTTGTTGACAGTATTATGAGTAAATGTGTTTGCATGGTTTAATTAAACTGGGTTTTATGTAGCAGTTTGTATCAGTGGATAAAACAATACCTTCATGTGACTCAAAAAGAGGAAGTTTCTCAAGCTCCTAGCAGCAGATGACTGATGGTAACAGTCAGACCTGTTTTCACGTCAGCCTCGTGACTGAGCGAACAGCAAACCTTCAGAAATGCATGTTGTGTTCAAGCACTTGCACGTCTGGTTTGGCTTCTCTTTTTTACTGTAGTTTTGATCTAGTTAGATTAGCAGCCACCAAGCTAAAAGAGAAATTGACAAAACCTCACAGAAAAGGATGAACTTTGAATGTAAAAYAGAAATTAAAACACTATGGTTACAGTTTCTACCTATAAATGCAGTTATAACGTTTTAAATACACGAACAGGAGATCTGAAAAAAGGAGACAAATTTTGGATAATCTCAAGCAATAAAAATGTGTTGGTAACATGCCTTTTAAAAAAACCTTTCGGAACAATTTCCTCTCTGATTAYCTGCCTGTTTGGCTTGGGATTTTGTATTTAATTTTGGAGTCAAGTTTCTATTTTTGAGCCTCTAAACTCATAACTAAAACTTCAATTTCCTCCTAGTTTGAGGTGTAAGAAATTATGGGACAATCAAATATCTATATCTAAAAAAAGTAGAAAAGAAAGTGAGTGCGGTGGATAATTACTACAGAAAGATACAAGGTATTAAAACTCACAACCAAATGTAATAACTCAAGCTGAATCTTGTAGGACTCAATAAAAAACCTGTTTATACTACACAGTATATTAGTAGTAGTTATAAAAATGTTTATTATTATAATTTTTTATAGTCTTGACATAAATCAGTTTAAAGCAGTTTCAGACCAACAGGCACACAGTTTTACTTTAAAAATCCAATTGGTTTTTCAGTTTTAACTTTATTGAAATATGAGTCAGAACAAGGACAAACGAGTAAAATAATGAGTGTATCGGAGATACAAAAGTAATACAGTAATTACATGACAACCATATATTACATCGCAAAATATTCATACAGAATAAAACGAACAACAAAGGAAAAACTAGAAAACAGAAAAAAATACTAAATTAATAAATAAGAAAAAAAATATAAAATATACACTCACCGGCCACTTTATTAGGTACACCATGCTAGTAACGGGTTGGACCCCCTTTTGCC